AGCGGCCAAGCCCCGGGCCGCTCCGCCGCCCTCGCGGCGCAGGCTGCGAAGCCTCCTGGTGCGCCTCCTTTCCGTCCCCCCGCTTGTTCTTCCAAACCTCCCTCCGCCTCGCAGCCCTCGGAGGTGCTGGGGTCTCCTTCGCCCGAGATACTCAAAACCCGCCTGGGCGCGATCCCGGGCAACGTGCCCCGGAGGACCCTGCTCGAGCAGGGGGTTGGACTAGACGATCTCCAGAGGTCCCTGCCACCCCCAACCATCCTGTCGTTCTGTTTCCATCCATGTACCAGCAGGTTGCACTTTATACCAAATCTGAAACATACGTTCTAAAATCGGCATGCATTTCGATGCAAGCACAATGTTCTTCCCACCCATCGTGGCAATGGGAACTCCCTTAGGCGAGGACCCATAACTGGGTAGTAGTGCGTAACGCTGGAGTACAAATCCTGGATTTAGTGCACAGAGTGGTTCAAACGGAGACAGAAATCCACTAGCTCCTGCTGCAGCTGTGCGCAGGAGGCAGCATAAAACCTGAGACGTTCTCAACTCTCAGTCCCGTCAGGTTCCCCCAGAGAGCACAGGGGAAGAGCCTAGGCACGTGGCTGTTTTGGTATGAATGCTGTCTTGAAGTCCCTTTTTTTTTTTTTCTCCGTGTCAGAGGACGACATGATCTGGTTTTGGAACATAAGCTAAACAGTCATGTGAGCGAGCTGGAAAAGAAAGAGCGTGATACGGTGTGGCTGTGGTGTGAGTGCATCCGATGGCACAGGTAACGCACGGAGGAGGGGAGCACCACTACTACAGGATTTCCCAGGCGAGGCTGTGTCTCGTGTCCTTTGCTAGTTTGGTCCAGAAATATTAACAGTTTATGAGAAGGCTGAGGAATTTTCTAAGATTCATCCAACAAACTGCCAAGTGAACCTGCTGTCACTTATAGGTGGTGATGATTTCTTGGTCTTCTATTTAAAACACTACCTCTGCTCTCCTTGAAGATACCCTCAGAGTTCCTCGCGCTGCTTCTTGCTGGAAAATGAAATGGGGAAAAAAAGTCTTGTCTGAGTATTTAGCACAGTCGGTTGTTACAAAGGCGAGAACCTTTTTTGTTTTCTTCAAATATTTTAATCTGTGCTGATATTTAGTTTTGAAAAAAGGTTTGCTGGAGGGAGCAGAAATTCTCTCCCTGTGTCTTTGGTAGTTTTCTGCAGCCCTCCTTTGAGGGACAGGGACTGGTAAGCCGTCAGGTCAATAATTACCTCTGAAATTTTTTTAAGGCTGTTCTGACTGTCTTAGCACTATTTCAGGTGTTCAGATTAAATATTTAAGTCTCAGTTATTTTTAAGTGAGTTCTCCTTAAAAGGACCAGGTGAACTGTTCTAGTTCATATCCTTCCTAATAGACATTCATCAGGATGGCAGAGAGGTGCACAGAGATAATGCTGAGTGGATCCTTCCCATGGCTTTCTGGAGTCCCCAGACGCTTGTGCTGCTGTACCAAAAGCACTTTAAAACCACAGGGCTGAAGTGAGCAAGGGACAGATACGGGAATTGCTAAAACCATCACTGATGTGGAATATGAGAGGAAGCTTTTAAAACGCACAGCTGGTTGTTGCAAGGTGGGAGAGCAGCGGGCAGAAAGGCGAGCAGCAAACGCCTGGCCCCGACAGCCGCGTGGTAGGATTTTGAAGTGAGAACTGCAAGTAGACTTCAATTGCGCGTACCGGCGACGAGGCAGGCCGTAAGAGCAGCCTGGACTCACTGACGATGCACGGCAGCTAATGATTCATGCTCGGAGTGAACCACCTGTGTTGACTCATGCAGCAGTTTAAGCGCTGTCCGCGGTTAGAGCAGCTACCTCGCGAGGACGGGCTCGGTCACAAGGCAGAGCGGGAGGGCTGCAGGCCTCTTACTGCGTTGTTGATAGCACAGGACCTGTTCCACTGTGCAGCTTGTGAATGGCAGTGAATCTCCCGATGGTAACAACCGACGGAGCGTCGAACTAACACACTGCTCCTTCTTCATGCTGGACATGGCAAGAAGTTCAGGGAGTCAGATGCCCAGCTGTGACTGCTCCTTAGCCTCAGGGAATAAAAACATTCAGTGCATCCCCCCCCCCCCCGGCCTAGTTTTCAGTTTCTAAAGTGTCTTGTCAGTCTAATCTGTGGCAGCTGGTATTCCCTAGTTGCCCTAACGAAATTGGTGCATCAACACTAGAACAGCTCTTCTGACCAAAAGCCTTACAGCCTCTGTTTCTTGCATTGAAATACAATACTGATCTATGCAGGATGCAAATCTCTCCAGCGCTGGAACTGCCAGACAGGACACCTGCTCTTCCCAGCTGCTTTATGGTTAAAGAAAGTGTGCGAGAAAGAAGGAAACTATGCTATAGAGTTTTTTCCCTTAAAAATAGGAAGATAAGACATTCCTAACATGAACTGTCAGACTTTAATTTATTCAGTTGGTAACAGAAAGGTTTCTTAAGCCCTTAATTGAGGGTATTGGCTTGTTCATGCCTTAAGGTTTTCTTTCTCCATGGGCAGAGGAGTAAGCACCAGCAGAGAAGTAGGTTTAAACACCACCCCCCCCCCCCAGAAAAAAAAAAACCCACATCTGAATAAAGATCACTACATCTTTCAGGCAAGTTTCAGTTCACATATATCAGTTGTAAACACTTCTCCAGATGGGCACTCTCTAAATATAAATAATACAAAAAGACTAGTTCATGTAAAAATACTGTATTTCTGAAAATTCCTCCACGTGTTACTTCTGTGATTAACGTCACGCTCTTTAAAGCAAGTGTAGACCTACGCAGCGGCTGGGTCCGCATCAGCAGCGGCTCGGAAAAGGGAGGGATGCAGGCGAGGCTGTAAGTTCGGAACGACCGAAGAACGCCCCAGCGATCAGGCAGCTCTGAGCCTGCCTCGAGAGACTGAGAGCTGCTGGTGGGTTTTGGTGGTTTCTGAAATAGATTATCTAAGATTATTTATTCTGTGCTTCTTTGTATGTCAGAGCCTCCCATGGAGGCATGCAGGAAACACTGGACTGGGTTAGTGTTGGCTTGGGGTTTGTTTTGGTTTCTTGAAATAGGCACTTGCAAGCTAGTGCAGAGTTGGAAGAGTTTGTGAGAGAGACTTGTTGAGCTAGCAGTGGTCAGTATTGCTCACCTTGCAGCCACATACTGAGGTCTTTGTGCAGTCAAGAGCTGCAAGACAGGCCATGAGGGGCAGAGCTTACGGAGGGGAGGCTCCAGGAGCGAGTGGTAGGGGGGCGACTGCTCCGCTGGGGCTGGGGCTGAGCTATTTGTGCAGAGGAGCTGTTAGTCGCTACAGGCAGGGATTCAGAGCACCCCTCGGCACCGCTGCCACGGTCCCGCGTGCACCTCTGGCACGGGAGGCGTACCCGCACTCTTAAGAATTGCCTGGCTCAGAGCCCGCAGACTGGGGATGCCGGACGGGAAAGTGGGGAGCTTGCGGAGCTTTGCACCCCAGACCATGTAACATTACGGCTCCCTATGCTCCATAGTCTCTGGCTTACAAAACCCTGGTCCACTGGGGAGATCTCTTCCCTCCAGTTGGCAGGACGCTCAGAAGCCGTTGCTCCTCGTGGAGGCAGAGGAGTAAATAAGACTCTGCTCCTGTTTCCCTCTCAAACCCTTTCTTTTATGTAGATTTTTTTTTCTACCATGAGTAATTCCTGCTTTCCCTTTTCCCAAGAGCAGCAAAGTGAAGTTAGCATATGTTAATAGTTTTCACTGTTTCTTCTCAGACCCAGAAACAGCAATAAGGCTGTCAAGACTGTAATTTCTCACTTTACTGCTTATATAAGTTACAAGCAACAAATGTGGAGATAAAACTGTCTCCCCAAGCCAGCAGTCAGAGTTGCATCGGGGGCACCGCGTGCTGCAGCAACACCCAGTGGTGCGAGCAAGAACCACGGCCTCGTCGCACAGCTGGCCCTGAGCGACCGTACCAAGGATTAGGAGGGGACCCTATATTTTACCAGTGTTTTTCACCATGTTTAGGATGTTGCTGTTGTTGTTGATGTTTTAAAGCAGAGCTCCAGAAAATATGAAAGAACAAATAAGGACAGTGGTTTGCCTGGAAGAGTTCTCTGCGGTTTTAGAAATAACTCTATGAAGGGTACGAGAAGTAAGTAGGGCTGAGACGTGATAGAGCTAACAGAAAAACGGGGATTGGATGTTACTTGTGGCTATAGCCACTCTGAGGATCCATAAATGCTTTAAAAAATAATTGTAACTTGTACAGTTCTGCACTTCGCAGGGCTTCCACAAATAAAGCTACAGGGAGATTTAAATCTTACAGTACCATTACTGAAAATGTAAAATGCTTTTTAATGCTCTAAGCAATCTGCAGAAGTTAAAACGCACATCATAAGCATACTCAAATTCCTAATTAATGAATGCCCAAAGGAATTCATTGCTTTTCTTTCCTCTTTTAAATAAGTGCAAACAGAAATAATATAAGAGTGCTCTTTAGTTGCGGAGCTGATTTAATTTGGGTGTAGGTTCTTCTAGGACTTCAGGTGTTTTTGTCCAATACTGGGTATGAAAGAAAAGAAATCTTGTGTTTTGGAAGCTTCGTGGGCAGACACCAGAACCCATTATAGCAATTGTGCGAGATATACTGTGACGGGTAGCTGCTATGACTTGGAGTTGTGGCCTGGCTAACAGCAAGGTGGTGGGGAGGGGGGAACATTTCTAGATTTAACCACTTAATCCAGAGTTTGCTGTAAAGCAAGTAGAGTTGCAAATGTTTATTTTCAGCTACAAAAACGACAGCCTTCGTATACCCACGCATATCAGCCAGCATCTGTGTCCTGCAGTGTTTTGCTAGCCTTTGTGATGGGACTTGACAAACAGAGCTGTTCATGCCTGAGCGATCTCGGCTGTGGCCATGGCAATGACATGAGGCCAGCGCTCCTGATCTGCGTTGTGTAAAACTCTAGATGGTTCCTGTTTGTGTTTCAGTTTATAGTAGAATTTACCTCCAACGTGCACCATCAAAAATTAGCCCAGCACCAAGGAAAGACTATGCAAGAGCATACTCGGTGTTTGTTGGCACACTGACAGCAACCCTGCTGGGTACCTATATGGAATTGCGTTTAGCAACATACATTTGAAAAAGAAAATTTCTGCATAGTACATCAGTGAATTCTTACTGCTGTGACTAATTCAGCTCAACAGTAAGTTTTACATATAATAAAGAAAATAGATTTTTTTCATGCATGCAGTAACTAGAAAAGCCAAGTACATGAGGCTTGATTTCTCAGGGGATTGAAACTCCATTTTTTCCCCAGCTTTCTAGGGAGTGGTGATTCTTTGCATCTTGGAAGTTAGGACAGAGATACCTCACACAGAATAAGAGTCTTCTAAGATCCTTCAATGCAGCCATCTCTGACTAGAGAAATTAATCAGTTTCTGAGTCTTCAGATGGTCCTGGATCCTTTTGAAGAAAAGTGGATCCAGTAAATTCACTTTATTTTACTCTTACGTTTGCACTGAGGAGTAATATTGAAAGTTGCAGCACCTCAGAAACAATAATCAAATTTTAGATTTAAAGAGTGGAAGGCATAATGAGATTGCATATAGCCTGAAAAGTCTTCAGTAACATCAAACTGGTCACTATCTCACTTCCTGCAGGCAGGTGGTAGACGGTAGGCAGAACCGTTCTGCGTCCTTAGACGCCACCCGTTGCTACAACACCAATTCCAAGAGAAAGAACAGATTTCCCACAGAAGCAAACAGCTAGCCAACTGGATTTGCATATTCATGTATTTATTGTATAAAACCTTACTTCTATATGTTGACTATATATATATATATGGATTAATTGACTAATGCTGGCTCCACAGCCTTTTCAGAGCTTTTCTTTAATAATAATAAAACTATGTCATGTTGAAGATTTTAAGGAAATAAACTAAACCTAAATAAGGTCATGCTTCCTATTTCTAAGACATAGTAGACTCCAATAAAGTGTTTTTCTGCATTCCTCCGTTTTCTTTCTGATCAAAATGCTTGTTACTCTTTACTGTGTTTTTAATTGATCAGAAACCCCTTAGGTGTTGGAGGTTTGCTTACAGTCCTCTACTTGCCTATGCGTATAGAGCCCGCACGTTCCTTATGAAATGACGTAACACTGATTGGCCTTTTCCTGGGTGACGGAAGAAATCGTTTTGCTAGCAAAGCAGAGTTTATAAATATACTCTGCTAGGCAGCTGGTTGTAGCCTAAAGAGACTTCCTCACGAGCGTAAGGGTCTGGAGGGCACAGAGGCTCGCTGTTTTCAGGGCTGGACCTCACTTTTACACCACTGCTAGCCTGGGTTGACCATCTGTACCCAGACCCAAAGTGAATGCTTTGAAAGGCCTGTTCTTTACTGGAAGCATGATTTGTACCTGAATACTACAGGGAGGCTGTGCTGGTTAGAGCAGGATAGGGATTGGGACTCTGCAGTCTGTTCCCAGCTCTGCCACCGATTTCCCACATGGCTTCAGACAAGTTACTTGAAGCCTGTGTCCCTGCCTGCCTTCATTCATGAGGTGGATAATACCGGACTGCCTTCCCCAAGCATGTTCACGCCTAACCGGTGTTTTCAAAATGCTTTAAGACACTCTGAAAGATGCTCTATCGATAAAGTGCAGTTCAGAGCAACACATGTGAAATGACACACATGGCAAAAAATGTGTAATCCTAAATTACATATGTAGTCATGAGCTCTGACATGACTTTTTCCTCTAAGGGAAAAGAAGATGCTGCTAAAATAAACTATTATGAAAACATGTCTTGGACACACAGTACTTTGCAAAAAAGGCATACTAGAAATGACTAGGAGGGCAATGAAAATGCAGAAAACAGCATGGGCCTTAGTGGCACACCTGCATTTTTAATACCATGTGCAGTCCAGGTTTCCCCATCTCAAAAAGGATATAGTAGAAGTGGAAAAGGTACAGAGGACAATTAGATCAAAGGTATTGTATAACCTCTACGCAAGGAAAGACTAAACAGGCTTTTCCGTTTGAATAGGGGTATGATAAGGATCAATGAAACACCAAGTAGCATGAAGACAGCAAATAAGGGTTTTCTATTCACAGTCTCTCTCCCGCTATCTGTAGGGCTCCCCAGATGAACCTAGCAGCGATGGGTTCAGGGACAAACGACAGGAGATACTTCACACAGGCGGTGGAATTCTTTGCTGCAGGACACAGGGGATGCTAGAAGCACACGCAGGCTGAAAGAGACAGTTGGATAAATCCGTGGAAGAAAAAAATCCAGCAGGGGCAACTAAAGACAAAAACACAACCCTTGGAACCTGTGAGAGCGTGCCAGGGAAACGCCACTATTTTTGCTTGCCTTGTTCTTACCCTCTTATTTCTACGTCCACCCACTGGTCGCTTTCAGAGACAGGATGCTAGCTTACATAGAGTTCCCATCTGGCCCCGTCCAGCAGCTTATATAATCTTACTGTTTTTATTAATAAGGTTAAACTCGGACATGCTGTTCAACGTGTGGCTTGGTTCAGGTGTCAACAGGGGTATGAATGTGGGGGGGGGGGAATCCCATGAGATTGGAAGTGTACAAATAAATAGGTCTCTGCGTTACACCACAAGACGTGTGTAGACGTGACAGGCCACAAGTTTGGCCTCGATGGGGCTTTTTACTTTGACAAGAGAACCCCCTTTATTCCACCTTCAGCATGCCTGTGCCGAACTCATGCTTTTCCTGCTCGCTGGCCGTACACATCTGAATAAATCCTTCAGCAGGGGCAAACACAGTAAATGAAAACTTAAGTTAACTCGTTATGGCCTATAAAACAAGCTCTTACAGAACTGAAGTACAAGCTAGAGCTTTGTCCCAATATCTCTAGCATTGTGTTTGCAACATGGGTGATTTACTGGAAGCGCAGAGGATTCTCACTCCTTGCACCTTGGGCGTTTAACCCAGTGAGCCGAACCTTCTCATGCTCATATTAGCCTCAAATAAGCATTTAAACCTTTGTTAAATCTGACTTTCCAAAGTTAGCTGAACTTTTTTTTTTAAGCCTATCCAGGCTTATTTTTTTCAGCCATTCTTTTATCGATTCAACCATACTCTTTCACATGGCTTGTAGCCTTCATTATCCCACAGCTGAACAGTGCCCTTCTGCAAGGAAGTAGCATAGCATCTGTAAGCAGCCATGCATGCATGTTGTAACCTGGGTGACAATATTAGCAGTGTTATCTCTACAGCTAAGGAAAAATCCTCTACGAATGTGAAGGTTGCACAGTGTACATCTAGATGCGATTTTCCTACTTATTTGGAGGGTTGCCAGCTGAAATGTAGAACCTTGACTTGTTGGTCTAAAAGTATGCATGAACAAGACAACTATAATCCTTAATATTAACGTCAATAAACTGTTGACCTTTGTATTACACAGGGTTAAAAAAAAATCTTTAACTTTCTCTTACATCTCTGTGCCAATCACAGATTACATGCTTGGTCTGCTGTTTTACTAAGGAAAAGAGCATAAGTAACATTAAATTCTGCACAGATGTAAGCTTTAAATAAGCAGGTATAAATATGAGCACATCAAACACTTGACTACTTGCAGTCACATCGCTCCTTTAGCTTGGTAAAGATTACATATTATTTAACAAATTCAGGGTTAGCAGGCTAACTGATTTTTGGTCAGGTTGATCTCTCAAGCTGTTTCACCAAGATCAACTATAATGATAGAGGCCTCTGGGCCCAGCTAGTCAGCCTCAAAGGTGACTTGCAGAAGAAGATTTAAGAATTGACTTTTGCTCTTTTTCCTTGATGAGATACGTAGAGATGGCTCAACAGATCCTTACCTACAATCTATTTTGATATTAGAATCATATGCTTCTCAGATCAGGTGGATTTTTAGTTAGATTACGGAAGATTATGGATTTTGGTATCTCTTTAACTGCAGTGACTGAAACATTTCAAGTAGAGGGGCACAACGTCAAAAATTCACCTATTCCATTCTTGTAGTGAAGATGCAAGAGCTTACAGCAAATATACTAGGTCTTCCAGAAAACTAACATCCCCAAACTGCTAAGATTAAAAAAAAAAAAAAGAAAAAGAAAAAGCTTTTGAGGTTTTAGTATACACCTCACAAAAACGCACTGGACAAACACACCCATCCTCTTGTTGCAGATCAGCTGTAAGCATTTTCCTGATTCCTAACTAGCTATTTCTGCCTCCACCACAATTCCTCACAGCAGCCTTGACTGTATGATGAGCAGTGACGATGAATTAATTCTCCTTCTGCAGAAACAAGTGCAAACACATAGAGCTGCGTGGGCAGTCAGGATCTTAGAATGGAGGGGGAGGTCAATAAGTGTCAAGATATTGCCATGCGCATAAGGCATCATGAACAGTGTAAGTCCCTGTGGCAACCATCACTTGACAGTGTCTAAAATAAACAAGCTGGGGAGGTATCACAGCATAGTGCATCAGCTTTTTGTCAGAAGGTGTTTTTAAACTAAAGCAACTGCTAATAAAATGGATGTGTATGAATCAGTGCTGAAAGACTTTAGCTTTCTTATTAAGCCAAACAGAGGAGAGACTCTAGCTTCTTCACTTTTCCTTGCAGTTTAGTACGTTGTGTAGGTCTTAACTGCTGTCCACGGAAGGACGTGGCTTGTCTCACCACAGCAAGAATGAAAGAACTAAGCTGTTGGGGAAAACAGGAATCTCCTCTACAGAGGTAATGCGTAAGAAATCTGTTCACGGTGGACGACTAGATTCACTGTGAACAAGTAAAAGCACCCCAGCAAAGTAACATTCTAAGTTGCCCAAGGACTTTAAGAGAAGTTATGTTACTTATCTGTGCTCTAAGCCTATGCTTAGTGAAAAATCATCTTTCCTTTTGCTTCTCACAGTTGCAGAGTGTGTTTCTTGATGGCTTGTATTTGATCTTTTTCCAGTATGCCACAACAGGCTGTTCGCTGACACTCCATCACACAGAAAAGCCAGAACACGAAGACATCTGCGAGTATCGTCCCTACTCCTGCCCATGCCCTGGTGCCTCCTGCAAATGGCAGGGATCTTTGGAAGCCGTGATGTCCCACCTAATGCATGCGCACAAAAGCATTACCACCCTTCAGGGAGAAGACATAGTTTTCCTTGCCACAGACATTAACCTTCCAGGTGCTGTTGACTGGGTCATGATGCAGTCGTGCTTTGGTCACCACTTCATGCTGGTGTTAGAGAAACAAGAGAAGTACGAAGGTCACCAGCAGTTTTTTGCCATTGTGCTGCTCATTGGCACTCGTAAGCAAGCGGAGAACTTTGCGTACAGACTAGAACTGAACGGCAACCGTCGCAGGCTGACCTGGGAGGCAACTCCCCGCTCCATCCACGATGGGGTAGCTGCTGCCATACTGAACAGTGACTGCCTAGTTTTTGATACGGCTATAGCACATCTTTTTGCTGACAACGGGAACCTTGGAATTAATGTGACTATTTCTACATGTTGTCCGTGATATATCTGTGTAGTTAGTGGAACCTAGGCTGTCTGGACATAGTGCTTTACATTTACTAAGGATTTTCTTTTTGTTCTGTTTTGGTTTGTTTTTTTGTTTTGTTTTTAAATGATATTCAACTATGTCTTCATGTACATTAAGGTTCCTAACTAGCCAACATTTCTAACTTTGGAGAGAAGATGAACAAGAGTGTCCTGCTAAGTAATATGAGCAGGAAGAGGTTTTTTAAATTCTTGGGTGCCTTAGGAAGATTCCCCACACACACTTTGG